CATATTATTTCGCAACAATGGTATGGCAGGCTTATGCACGTGTCTCTTTATGTTAGTACTTGACCAAGCAGATGGAGATGTTGCGCGAGATGAACGAGCAGCACGCTAAAGTGTACGAGCAGTTGGATGTGACGGCTCGAGAGCTGGAGATAACCAATGAAAAACTGGTGCTGGAGAGCAAAGCTTCTCAGCAGAAGATTGACAGGTGAGCCATACGCTGTCAGAGCATCATGGGAACCACACTACACAATGAGGACATCATAAGTACTGGTACTCCAAAGTGTAAAATTTGCAACAATACCAATTCTTCTATTGTATCTCTCATAACACTGATAGGTTCCTGAAATCAGAAGTCTCACTCTGGCAAAGGCTCAGCTCATGAATATTAATTTGGTCATGCTGACTTTGCATTATAACCTTCCTGGAGCCTCAATCAATTAATGTTCATAAGCTAACCCTTAGCTATAAGAGGATTCATTCATTATCTGACTGCTTCCCACTTACCATTTTTTGCCTTCAGGAAAAAGCTGTGATACTGTAACATGACAGTCCGGCACTACAGCCATTAAGTTTGTTATTCCTTTTTCAGTTATTGAAATTATATCAGGGCAGATGCTTTTTTTTTTAAAGGTTCTGACAATCCAACGGATAATGCCAGAGAACCTTATATTTCTGATATGTGGCCGGTTGCATGAACTGCATCTTACTAGTCTTTTTTCCAAGACTAGTCATAACTTTAAGTCTGTTATATAAAAAAGGTAGATTGGTCTAATTTGAAAGTGAAAATTAAGACTGATTGAAGCAAGACTGCAGCTGGCCCGTGGTTGTGGTGGCTGGCTGAAGCTCATACATTGAATGATCGTATGCAAATCTCTTCCTACAGATTGACAAGTACTGTGGAGATTCTGCAGGGGCAGGTGGACACGCTAACTGCTCGTGTGGAGGAATTGCGCACTTTGGAAGAGCTCAGGGTTCGCCGAGAGAAGAAAGAGAGGAGAAAGACTGTGCACTCGTTCCCCTGCCTCAAAGAACTCTGCACCGCTCCCAGGTACTTCCCGATTTATTACGTCTGCAGTGGAGTAATGTTGTGTCATTAAAAAAATGTGTCCACAGGGAAGAATGACACGGGAAGCAATGTTTCACCATGGATAAACGGACGTTTCCAAGAAAGAAAGAACAGAATGAAAAAGACCTTAGTCAGGGCGGCACCATATTTAATTTCTGACAGGAATGAAAACGCGGCTGTGAGGGATGGAAGCACAGTGTGTTCAATGAACCAAGTTCTGCCCAACATTTTTCTTTTTCAGAAATCTGGATGTCAAAATACAGAAGAAAGATCTGTCGTTACGTCTATTACATTAAGACTTTAAAAATGTCTAACCATGCAACATTATTGTTGTCTCTAAAACCCCAAGGTGTGGTGTTTGTGCCTATGGTTTGGTTTTTCTTGTGCAGGTACGAGGATGGCTTCATGGTATCTGGCCCGGGCAGCGGTGACCTACAGGAGTGTCAGCCCACTGATGAAGAGAACGAACATCTGCGTGTGATGGTGTCGTCTTTGCGCGCTGCTGTGGTGGCCGAACGCGGTCGGCGTGAGGCCGCAGAGCGAGAATGTGCCGCGGTGCTACAGGAGTTTGAGCGCCTGGAACAGCGCCTCATGGGGGCCGAGAATTGCCAGCGGCGCGTGCACGAGCTGGAGGCGGAGCTCCAGGAGATGCACCAGCTCTGCAAGTCCCGAGCCTGCCTGCTGAGCAGAGACGAGGGCCTGGAGCAGACTCTGCTCAACTGCGCCCCCGAGACGGACACGCCAGATGATGCAGTTATGGCTGGAATGCAGAACGGGGATGCAAATGATGGAGCGGCACCCGTCCGGAAGAGTTGCAGTGATACAGCTCTAGACGCCATCTCTGCAGTCGATGCCTCAGGGAGACGCAAAGGCAGCTACGCCCTTCACGCCAACGGCGTTCGGAAGAGGGGCATGTCCATCCTCCGAGAGGTGGATGAGCAGTATCACGCCCTTCTGGAGAAGTACGAGGAGCTGCTCGGGAAGTGCCGGCGCCACGAGGAGAGTCTATGCCACGCTGAGGTGCAGACCTCCCGACCCGTGTCCAGGGACCCGTCCATGAAGGAATGCCGGGCTGCAGAGCCCCAGCAGCCGCCCACTCCACCGCAGACGCCCTCGACTCCAGAGGCCCTGGAGGGCATCAGCCGACAAGTGGAGGCTGTGGACAAGCGGCTCAGCCAAAACACTCCAGAGTACAAAACTCTCTTCAAGGAGATCTTTTCCCGCTTACAGAGGTCCAAGAGTGACATAAACTCCACTAAAGGGAGGAAAAGCGGAAAATAGCCCATTTTGCTCTTAAAATTCGTGCCACTGCTTTCCTTCCCTGGTCTTTCATGTAATGTCTTACATTTTTTTGAAACTACAGTCAGAAAGATGTTCAGATACATCCGTTATTTAGTACTACTCACCCCTGAATTATTTGGTGCCACTTATCAAGAGAAAAGTGGTGGTTTTCTGGACGTTATGAGTGTCGTGCTTTTGCCAGGTTGGCCTTTTTTGGGGGTAGACCATATTACTCATATTACTGAACACTCATATTACTGAACACATCGGTTTAACTGTAATCATATTCACCTTAAAGTTAATCAAGCACATGATGCTTATCTTTGCTGATTATTTCCTTTCTCACATGTATTACATGTTATGAATAACCACAGCATTATGTAACCACTTTTGTTCAATATTAAATCACACTTTGCTTTATAAGATTGTTTGATACATTTATTACCTTAAGCATGGCTGAATAAGAGGAGTGATCAGGATGGATCTGCTGTATGGTTGTCTAGATGGAAACCCTTGTTCCGTGAGAAATTGCAACATTTAAAAACAACCCTACCCCTAGTCTTCATGTACCGCCCACAGACTGACCACCCACCTAATGCACATTTCACACAAAAACTGTCCTGCAATAGCAGAAAATCACTAGTTCTAATCTTGCTGGCTTTATGTAACGTCTGGGAGTTTGGGTGAATGAGTTCACCAGGAACTAAAGGTGTCACAAGGTACTAGATTGCTACAATAAGCACAAAGAAGCAGCACTAGTCATTGAACTTGCTACAGTTTATCAGGTTAGTTTCATCAAGTCTTGTTCAGAAGATATTCAGAGTGTTTTAGGCACTTAATAGAGACACCAACAAGCAGAACTTTGAAGAGTTTGTAGTAACTGGTACTTTCACTACCAGATATACTGATCACAAAGTCTCCACATATTTGTTTCTACACCAGCCCATTTATGGTGTTGTCAACCATTGTCAGGCCACCCCTCATAAAGCATACTTCCCTTGTCTGCTTGCAGCCCAATTTTTGTGTCTGCGTGGACAACAGGTCCAGTAGGTCAGGGATGGGCAACTCTGGTCCTGGAAGGCCAATGTCCTGTGGAGTTCAGTAGCCCCTCACTGCAGAACAAAGATCCAGGGGGTGGAGATGGTAGGTTTAGGGGTGGAGATGGGTGGGTTTAGGGATCAGGGGGTGGAGACGGGTAGGTTTAGGTATATGTAAGGTGGGAGGAGTTGGATCTGGATCCAACCTCGCCCCCTGGATCTTGTGTTCTGCAGCGAGGACCATCTCGTGGAGTTTAGTTCCATCCATCCAATGACAAACATTGCGGATGAACCCGTTCAGCTCAAGTGCACTACCTAGTGCAGGGATAAGTAACTCCGGTCAAACAGATCAGGGATTGGAACTCAAATCCACAGGCCCTCCAAGATCGAGTTACCCGTCCCTGCACAAGGTAGTACACTTGCACTGAACTGGCCCATCCATGCTCATTGTCAATGGAGTTTACTTTGATTTTCAGTGTTCACTGTCGAGCACACCAGCCATTCAAGTAAACCAAACTGCAATGTGGACCAGACCTTATGCCTATAATCAGGACTCCTAAGCTTGGTGGCACCAAGCCCTAATAATGAAGTTTTACAGAACAAGGCTAACCATCTAGACATCACCCTGGTGAAGTAAAACAAAAAACCAATGGTACAGCATTCATGTTGGTAAATGGGAGACAAAAGAAACCGTGTGTTCTGAACACTTTAATGTTGACACAGGTGAACAGTAATCTCCAGCTATTATAGAGATAAGTACAAACAGATGAAGACAGAAGCAGCATTCTGGACCAGCACAACAAGCAGGCAATGTTGCAACAACAACAACGTTGCAGGCATTGTCGCCAAAGGAAGAAAAAAAAACAAGCGTGTATAAAACAGTACAGTTATGCATGAGCACATCCTCTCTTGTTTGAACATTGAGGTTAGATTACACCTGGACTAGAGCTGAGAGTTTAGAATTAGGTTCACTCCAGATTTGTCCCACTACAAATGCACCTCCTTTAGAGTCCTGACTTTCTTCTTTCCATTAGGTTAACACACAGAGAGCAGCTCATACTTATCAATACTGGAGGCACAGTCTATGGTGTTGGTAATTTTTCAGTTGAGTTGTTCAATACTTGAGCTCTGTTAGTGAAAACAGCCCTTTTCTGCTTTTTAAAAAGGTCCTAACTGGCAACTCGCATTAACCTCAAGCAAAGGGCACATTCTGCAAATGAAGCACCAGTTTTTGGAAAAGTGGGAGGTGATAACTGGAGTGGGGGAAATGTTCCCTCTGCTTCAAGGCTCACCAACTTCTACTGGCCTTCAAGTTTGGTCCATCCTGAATCGAGCCAATTGAACAAGGCAGCAGATGTGACCACCAGTCCCATGAGGGAGCAAGAGTCGGTAAACCCCCCCCCCCGCCTCTTAAGGACAAAAGATCTGATTGGATTTAAACCTAGATGCTAAGAGGCAGCTCCTAAATGTCTTGCTACAGGAATCGTTTTTAAGGCCACATGGCGATGAAATGGTTAAACAAAAACCCCACGTCGTCACAGCAAGGCAAGGCTGATTCTTAGTACAGCTCCCCTAGTGGACAGTATGTTCAGATCCTGTGAACCCTACATAGCTAAAACCATATTTGGACACACGCATTCACACCGAGAGCCTAGTAAAGACCTGCTCCGCCATATCGCTAACATTTCTACAGTTACCCATGCTACGCTAACCCTAGGCTCATCTCAAAGGCATCGACACGTTCCCTCTGGGCAAAGGCAAACTTTTGAGTTGTGAGGGAATGCCAGTGGAAAAATATCAGTAAGTGGCACCTTCTCCCATTTCACTCATAAAGGCAGATCATGGTTAAAAAGAAAACAAGGAATGTCAGAGAAAAGAATGACGCGGGATAAACAGGGGGAAGGGTTTAGGACACAAGAGGAAGACGGGGGGCAGTGAAGATTACTTATAACAACCATGTCAATAGTATTCATGAGGTTTTTTGAATTTTTTTTTTCCTCGGTTTTTACTTTTATATACAAACAAACCAAAACACAAAATATGGATTGTGCACGTTTTTGTTTGTTTTCACATATATATATATATTTCATGAAAAGCCTCAATACTCATTGGGAGGGAAAGGGATAGGAATATGGAGGGAGGGAAGAAAACTGTAGGAAAATGGACAGAGTGAGAAAGATCCTTTTCCTTTAAATCGGTTAAGCAGTTAATCCAAGATTATGATGATGATGATGTTGATGATGGAGGGAACTGGAGGAGGTTCGAGAGGAAGAAAGGGAGGGAGGGAAGAAATAGGAGGATGGCAAGAAGGAAAATGGGGGTTTGGAAACAGCTCAATCTTTCCAGTCCTTCTTGATGTTCAGGTTCCATTCCCAGGACAGGTGGTCGTGCTTGTCGTCGTCAGTGAACTTGGATTTAATGTTGTAAGTGCCGCGGGCCAGCATGCCTTTGGGTGCCTCCTCCAAGGGTGTCAGGAATTCGTATTCATTCGGCCGAGGCCCATAGCTGCCCACCATGTAGTCAGACTTGTCAACTGAAGACAAGACACAGGTGAAGAGGTGTAAATGAAATGGAGTACACTACTTGCTATATTAATTCATTCTCAAAGGTTGTTTAAGCAATCAAGGATAGTGTATGTGTTACAATAAAATCTACTCCAACATTACTTGTTTTCATTATGGAGACACGGGCAGCCCAATTAGGGGTGTGCGATATGCATCATCTACGATAATATCATAATGATTTTTTGTGGAATCTGACATTATGGAGGATATCACTCGGTTTGCAAAAAGAAACAGTTCAATAAACAATAAGTTAATACTGTACGTTACATTTTAGACACTATATTGTTTTTTTTTAAATTTGGCAACAAAATTAAGCATGCAGTCATGGAAGAACTGTTCTCCACCTCGGAGCGACACAGCGATGTTTCATTACTGAATGAATCCACGTTTGTGAAAGAATCAGGCGAGTCAATGATTCAAGGACCAAGTAAAATGTAGTGTACTTGTCATTAGAAAAAAAACAAAATACCGTATTGGCCCGAATATAAGACGACCCTGATTATAAGACGACCCCCCTTTTTCCAGATGTACCTTTTGGAAAAAGGCTTTTTAAAAACCAAATCTTGTTTTTTTCTCAGTAAAACACATTTTGTCTTCAATTATTTTTATATTGCATATTTTTCCTATTTTAATTTTTGTTTTGAAAGTATGGTAAAAACTGGTAAAATGTACCAACAATCACATTTAAAAAATATACACTTTTTGATATACCATAAAAAAAAATAAAACAAACAGGTAGCCCATCTGAATTAGGACATTTAGGCTATCCATCTAATAGTAGCCTACCAAAATCTTATGAACAGTAGAAGTTAAATCTTACTGTAATCTTCAAATCTGGGTACTGTCTTACGTTTTAAAATCACAAAGAGAGTTTGGTGCCATCAGGCTAACGTGACAGTCACGACTCATGCAGCTGTAAGACTTTCTTTTTCTTTTGTTTTACTCGCGATCTTTACAACACGCATCACATTACGTATTTCATGGCACACTCGTTTTATGCGTATTTGGCGCCACCTAGTGTTGTGGGTGTATTATTGACATGTCAAAGTCAAGACCCTGTATATAAGACGACCGCGGTTTTTCAGATGTATTTCCAAGAAAAAAACATCGTCTTATATTCGGGTCAATACGGTAGATATTTTTTTTTGTCAATGTCACACGCCACTAATCATAATGTATTAATGTTATTAATATATTTAAATGTGTATTGTGTATACTGGTGCATGTAAAAGGACAAGGAAGAATAATAATTGATCATCTTCAGTCGCATATTTTTATTGGATTTTAATTCTTATATTAAAATGGAATATGTTAATATCAGCCAATTAGAGCAAATACTATTATTACATGGCTGAGAAATGCTGACTTTCATTCATTTGTGCACCATTCCTTCATGTTCATTTGTGCATAATAATAAACACAATTTATAAATATTCATGGTAGATTGGCCTCCCCAAAACATAGTCTGTTCAAGCATTAATGGGACGCTCTGGTGTACAGAGGGGGGAAGTAGATTTCCAAATCCAGTTCCTCAAAGAACTCGAGGTTTTTCTTCTAAAAGGGTCACAAAACCCCGTTTCAGCACCGTTTAGTTCTCATCACAGTTTTGGAAAGTGCTACAAAAGTGGGTGTGGTGCGCTGCGGAGTGGAGGAGGAAGAGGGGCGACAGACAACACAACAGCGTCGTCAGATTCAGACAGTTTCGTTTCGCTCCCATCGAGTTAAAAACACAAATACATGCACAGCCATTTGCACTCTGCAACAAAATACATATGAAAAGCAACACTTTCACCTCTTTTCCTTTGATTTTGGGGTGAAATGTACCCTGAACATGAATGTCAGATTGACATTTTTAAAGAACACTTACTCTTGACCCCTTTCCTAAAGGTCTGCTGTACGTACTTCAACCCGGAGACGATCTCTTTGTTTACCTGCACACAAATGTAAATATATGTGATGTCACATTATGTAACAGGTACAGCTTCAAAGCAACATATGTTGTTTACATGCAGTCAGTAGGACCAATATACAGTGTGTGTGACTGTTTACAGCACAGCAGCTATATTCACACAGCTATGAGGCAGCACTGCTTAACACGTGACGGGAAGAAACGTGGAGTAATCTGGAGATGCAGAGAGTCCAAGCTTCAAATAAGAGGATATACTCAACAAATGTGGAAGTGAAGTACCTTTCATTTACCGGATTATCCACAAACAGGCACTAACACATGATTACGAAATATTAATAGAATTTCCAGTAGAAATAACTTCTAATATGCAGTTACTTTGCTATGAAATTCTCATACTATGACAAAAGTTGTGTGATAGCATCAATTCCTAGCAATTACTGCATCTAAATGTTTCCAGTTGTGGTCATCTAACCTTGAAGCTGATCTTTATCCTGTACTCCACTCCGTCCTTCAGCACAAACGACTGCTTCTTAAAGGACTCCAGATCACCTGAGAGTGGAGCAAACACACACACACACACACACACACACAAAGTTAGTGCAGCTTTGAAAACATACCAGTGTGCACCGTTTTGATGGATATGTGGAGTTTCTGTGCAAGAGCGCCCTCCGGCTTCCAGTATGAATTAAACAGTCTTTACATGCGTGTGAACTCATTAACCTCTTAAGACCCGGCAAAACATTTTTTTATCAAAATTTTTATTTTTTGATGTCATTACATTGTTTAGAGCATTAAAAAAAAGTTTAAAAAAAAGATATTTCATTCATAAGTTATGCTACGTCCTTGGTAGAGGACATCGGGACTCAATTTCTTATTGCGTGCACATTTGGGCCGCATTATGCAAATATTTCCACATAGTGAGGTAGATATGTGGGGGCGTGTTAGAACGAGCCGTTTTAGGAGGGCATGGACGAGTCTTAACTTTTATAAAGAATATCTCTTTGGGTTTGAGACTTTAGTCTTTGCAACTTTAGGGATCTTATCTATTCACGAACAGCTTGTAACACTCCAAAGAGAAAGGAAAACTTGAAATCACATCATATGACCCCTTTAAAACTAAACTAAACTAGTTTAAACTAAACTAGAGGTTGATTTTGAATGGCGGTGGTGTTTCATGTGTGAATGTATGGCAGACTGCAGTTGAATGTTGTTCCCAGCAGATGGCTGCAGGACACAGCGCTCATCTTCACCCCTCTCTCTCTCTCTCTCTCTCTCTCTCTGCCAGCGCTGAGCTCTCGCTTTCAGGCTGCTGTGCTTTATCTGGGTCATGTGACGGTAAGATTACGTCGCATCACAGGTTTGGCTTAGCGAAAACATAAATAACACTCACTAATAACACATGGATGCATCCAAGAGAAATGATCTCAGACTGCACTGCCTTTTTGTGTCAACATTACAGCTCTCATTCTAACCTATCGATGTTGAAGTCTTACTTTCAAAACAATATCTGTAACGTTCAATACTGAACGGAAGCTCAAACGTGCCGGAACCAATGAGGTTGCGCTTCTGTTTACAATATTTGATTTTCTTTATGTATGTGCATTGATTATTGTTTATAAGTCAACAAAAGCCTAAATTAAGTGACTGTGTCTCTTCAAGAGACTTGGACTAAATGGCTTGATTCATATGGATTACTTTTAGAATGTCTTTATGACATTTTTGAAGCTTGAAAATGTTGATTTCCTTTCGATAACTGGACAACAATAATGAAAATATTAAAAATATCTTTATGTTCTGAAGATAAAAAAAAAAAACAAGAGTCTTACATTTTGGAACGACATGAGGCTAAGTAAATGACTTAACCATTCAACAAAACAGGTTATCTCTACTTACCTTGCAGGTCAAGGGTCAGCGGGGCAGGAGCAGTCTCGCACATGAGAGTTAGCCGTGTCACCTGAACATTGGGAGCACTGGGATCTGCTAAATGAACAAAACAAATAAGCACATAAGGAAAGCCATAGACTGACATCAGTATATCCAAATTCATTTTGGTAAATGGGAGGGAATTCACCACTTAGGTGACTATTTATGGAGGGGATTAATGAATTTAAAATGATTCCTTTTCATCTGTGTCGATTAGTTTGTTCAACCCACATATTGTAGTGAATACATTTTGTTGATTGATTAACAATTATAGTGAGACCATTACAAGTTCATGAGGAATGTCTGACGATGACTTCCAGAAACACTTTTTGTTTGTTTGAGCAGCTCAGCTTGTGGCTCAGCTAATGCTGTGAAATTCTGTCGGTCGATAAAAGAGCATGGAGAGCAGGTGTATGGGGGAAACATGTTTAAAAACTCATTTTTGCAAATCCGTTAGATGTCGCTTGTTCTATAAGCAGCAACTCATGTCAACTTTATTATTTTGTTTTAGAGTACGGCCAGCAGTGCCATCACTGATGTCCATGTGTTAACTTAACGCAGGCACTGTGGAAGCACTACTGATGCTTATTGTAGCCCAGCCATCATCCGCGCTGACGTCTCTGTGGGAGCTGCTTCATTCACTCTACGTGAAATAATGAGATTGATGCGGGTGATTAAACGCCGGTCTCTCGACGCTCGTTCAAACAGCTCTTCAGGTGATGAGATGAACCATAACAGGCAGGGTTATTGTAATGGCTGACTGCTGATAAAAACAAAAAGGAGCAGGAACTGTAGATACGCGACCTCGTTTTAGAGCGCTCTTGTGAGGGTGCTGGCAGACGATGCACAAGGACAGCAGCCGGAGGCCCCGTCTGAGCAGTAGCCCCTCACTGCAGAACCCAAGATCCAGGGGGCGTGGTTGGATCCACATCTAGGGGGTGGAGATGGGTAGGAGTGGGGGTGGAGATGGGTAGGTTTAGGGGTGGAAATGGGATCCAGGGGGTGGAGATGGGTTGCTTTAGGGGTGGAAATGGGATCCAGGGGGTGGAGATGCGTAGGTTTAGGGGTGGAGATGGGTAGGAGTAGGGGTGGAGATGGGTAGGGTTAGGGGTGGAGATGGGTAGGTTTAGGGGTGGAGATGGGTGGGTTTAGGGATCAGGCTGTGGAGACAGGTAGGTTTAGGAATATGTAAGGTGGGAGGAGTTAGATCTGGATCCAACCACGCCCCCTGGATCTTGTGTTCTGCAGTGAGGACCATCTCCGTCTGAGAGCCTTTACCCAAGAGTCAACAGCTCGAGTCCAGAACAACATGATTTACCCAAGTAGGACACAATACTGGATCAACATTATCTGATGGTCCTGGAACAACATGCATATCTGGATGAAGATCACATGCTAATTATTTTGACAAATATTGCAGTCAGGCTGGATACCGGCAAGTCGGAAACTACCTCAAGGTACAAAACATCAGCAATGCAAGTTTCTAGTAACGTAGTCTTTGTAATCATGTTGATTTCATGTGATTCTAAAAGACTTCAATAAAAAGGTTTTATTTAAAAAAAAAAAAAGGTTTCAGTTCGGTTGCTCTAAATGTCATGTGGTGCAATCAACAAATATAAAAATACGTTTTTTTTCCCTTAAAATGTAAGGAAAATATATTATGTACATTACCTAAAAGTATAAAACTTTATACCCATCAAGGTTTGTGGTCGGTAAAATTTTTAATGTTTTTGTAGTCTTGTCTGCTCATCAAGGCTGCATTTATTTGAACAAATATACAATAATATGTGAAATATTACAATTTAGAATAATATTAATTAATAATTTAATTTAATTTTTAATATTTATTATTTTATTCAGCATCATTACTTCAGTCTTCAGTGCCACGTGATCCTTCAGAAATCATTTGATGCTCAAGAAACATTTCTAATTATTATCAATGTTGAAAACAGCTGTGCTGCTTTATATTTTTGTGGAAACAGTGATAATGTTTTTTTTTTTTTCAAGATTCTTTGATGAATAGAAAGTTCAAAGACCTGGAATTTTCTGTAACACTATAAATGTCTTCACTGTCACTTTTGATCAATTAACTGTGTCCATGCTGAATAAAAGTATGAAAAAATTTAGGGCTGTTAATCGATTAACATTTTTGTGCGATTAATCGCACACTTATGAAATTAAGCATGCACCATTTATCTATAACATGTTAATTTTGTCATTATTTACTAGCCTATATCTAGCAAAGTAAGCCGAAAGATTGAAGGGTGACTCTTACAAAACTATATACTTTCAAAGGCTGTTGAAAGTAGAGCTGGTCCATGGGATGAATTCTGGAAAAGGGACTGTTGTGACGCGTGTGTTTGCATAGAAACTTTCATCAAACTAGGTCAGAGCAGCGAGAGCGTGTACAGTAAAGCGACACACACCTGCAATAACATTGCAGCTGCCCAGTAGCGCCTCCTTGTACTTGCGGAGGCTTTCGTCCTCTTGGTCGAGCTCCTGGATTTCTTGAAGGCTCTTCTGGGCTGGCGGCTTGTAGTTGACAGACTCGCTGTTTTCGTTCTCGGCTGCGATAGCGGCTAGCTGCTCTGGTGTGGGCTCCTGCTCGGCCATGATTGACAGCTGGAGGAAAACAAACATACACATCTTTATTCAGAACTATTGCATTAGTGGTCAAAGCCAATTACTGCAGGGACTCAAATACACCGCACAGCGCTGAGTGTGTGTTCAGGAGACACACACACACAGAGAGATAAAGGAGTGTAAATATTTTAGGTTGACAGCGAATAATTTCAAGTCACATTTCAAAATTAACAAATTTATTTCAGATGTATACAGGTTTTATATAAAATCAAACTATGATATACACAATCATTATTTAGAGAATTTATGAAAACAATTTTTTTGATTTTAAATTTCTCAATTTGAAACTTTAAAATGGGTTCTTCAGAAATATTCTTGAAGACTATACAGTTTAAAAGTTTAGTGTCTGTAAGATTTTGTTATGTTTTTGAAAAACATCTCTTATGCTCACCAAGGCTGCATTTATTTGATCAAATGTACAAAAAAGCAATACTGTGAAATATTATTATACATGATGTCATTTTTGCATTATTGACACACTATTTTCCTAATTAATGCTGTTCAGTTGCTTTGACACAATCTGTATTGTTAAAAGCGCTATATAAATAAAGGTGACTTGACTTGACTATTACAGTTTCAAATAACGTTAAAAAAATATATATATTAAAATGTAATTTATTCCTGTGATGTAAAGCTGTATTTTCAGCATCATTACTCCAGTCTTCAGTGTCACATGATCTTCAGAAATCATTCTGATATGATGATTTACTGCTCAAGAAACATTTCTGATTATTATCAATGTTGAAAACAGTTGTGCTACTTATTTTGTGGAAACCGTGACACTTTCTTTCCCCCCCAGGACCCTTTGATGAATAGAAATCTCAAAAGAACACGATTTATTTGAAATAGGGATCTTTTGTAACATTATAAATGTCTTTAGTGCCACTTTTGATCAATTTAATGTGTCCATGCTGAATAAAAACATTAATTTCTTCCTAAAACAAAACTCTGACCCCTTCTGAACAGTAGTGTATATGCTGTAGTTTTACACACTGTAACTACTTTAACAGTTTATGCAAAAACAAGCATACAGCACAGTCAATGCTGTCAAATGGAAGTTTTTATCTCCTGAAAAATTACCGGCTGAGCAGTTAATTCACATCTGGACGTTTACATTCATGTCATAAGACTCGTATGCGTTTCACCCAGTGTGGCCTTTCAAAGATTTACATTTAGGAAATGAATGCAGAGGATGTCTGGGAAACACTTGTGCTGCAATGCAGCAGCCCTGGAACAGAAAGTGCTTGTGTTCTCTGTAAGTCAGACGGAGCGCTGTCCCAATACAACTTCAGAGTGCTTCACCTTGACAGCAGCTTCTGTAGTTTCCTGTTGTGCAGAACTGCAGCACGCTCTGCTTATAGAGACACCTCACTGTGGCGATTTCCTTTCCTTACATGGTATTGGCGTGCTAAACGCACAAAATCACACTCATAACAGAACTGAATCACCATCCAGCATGCTTTGACACACGAAACATGCATCTGCAAAAGACCAACCAGAGTTTGTTGCATGTTTTTACTCCAGGGTGAAACAAGTTAACTAGTTTTGTAGCAGATTTTTATTAGAAATGCAATTTGCATAGCCCTATGATTTCCACAAAGATGAAATGTGGATGGAATTGCAGAATCCAGAAAAAAAAAAAAAAAAGTAATTTACTGATATAACAAGGAAGGAGTGTCATGAAACTGTTGATAATAATAATAATTACTAAAATATTTTATAAGGAACAATTTATCACAGCAATCCTAAATGAATAAAACAGGCAAAAGAATTTCTGAAAAACTAAAGCACATTTCTTAGGGCACTACTATTGTTAAAATGTTAATAAATTATAAAATTGTTAAAATAGAGTTCAGCTGATTAGACATTGTTTTTGATTATTAAAATCAAATTAAAACATAAAAATAAAAAATAAATAGAAAGCACAGAATTTGGGGGGGGGAGGGGGGGGG